ATTGTTCTAATTCGGGACCCCGGGTCTGAAGGCAGCCCACTGAAATGGTTTATTGGCACTTATTCCAACCCCGGGGAGAAAGTTCTCCTGTGGAGGCAGACCCGGAGTCCTGTTTGCCTCCTGGAAGTCCCCTCCCCGCCTGGGCCACCGTGAGGGCAGATGGTGGATCCCACGGACCCAGAGGGAGAGAATGAACCCAGGGCATTTGGGAGGAGACAGTGCCGGGGGGGGGGGGGGGCGGGGGACACAAAGCTTAGTGGTGAAGTTTTTGAAAAAGTAGCAAAACTTGAAAGATGTTTTAAAAAGTGTTCTCAAAAGTGCAGTTTGGAACCACATGTTACCCAGAAATGCAGCCTGTAAGGTTGTGAATGGAGAGACCATGAATTTAGGTAATAGGACGGCATCGGTTAATAGTTCGGATGAGGAAAGACTTTTGTGAATTTAGAGCCTTCTAACACGTGAGAAAAGGCAAGTGACCGGTTCATTTGTCTCGGGATCCTGATGAGCCCTTTCCTGAAAGGCCAGAACCCCACGAAGAGAGTTCCATGAAGCAGAGAAGAAGCAACAGTGAGAAAAAGGGCCCCAAGCCAGGGCTGGACGTCTCCGGGAAGGCTGTGGCACAGATGTCGTCTGCTGCCGTTCGGGAAACCTTTCCTGTCACGTCACCATGTGGTGTGCAGGGCAGTCAGGGTTTGCTGTGTGTCTACACGTGCCACATGCATCCAGGGTCTGTGCCCTGGAGTGCGGTGCCACAGGGGCTGGCGGGCAGATGCTGACGGGGGGCCTTTCCAGGGAGGCCGGAGAGAACCAGGAGGGGTCTCGTCAGTAGACGAAATCTCCGGAGTTGGAAGGTGGGAGGCCTCAGGGTCTTCCTCCCCCGGGAGGGCACTGTGAACGTGGCTCTCCCATGGCATGGTTATTTTGATAAGAAGCTATTAATTTTTTCCAATACTAACGTATACACCTTTTTGTCACCGAGAGTCAAAGGAGCGAGGGCCAGTGCCTTGGCCGTGCTGTGATTTCTCAGGGTGGGAGTCGGGGGGGGGGGCTCTGGAGGGGGGTGTGAGATGGAAAGGGACCAACCCCAGTGCTTTTGGACACGGTGTTTGGGACACAGGGTGTCCCTTGAGTAGCAGTGGTGCCTTCAGTGAGCCCACCTGAGCCCGAGGATCCTAGGTGTTACGCAGAGCGAAGGTGTAAGACGGGCCGAACAGAACAGCGCCTGGCTGGTAAACTGGGCTCCCGGATCCCTGTGAAGTTTGCGAGGTGTTCCCCAGGTAGGGATGCCCTTTTCTCACAGCACTGCAGCCACAGGACAGGCCCTGGGCTGTTGACAAGAGAAGGCTTCCGCCAGTGAGATAACCTATGAACCGTGACTAACACATACTCCTATTCAGAGAGAGGGGGCTGCGTGAAATCCATTCATGCAAACGGGTTTCCCTGGGTTGTAACCGGACAGGTGGGACCAGCGAGGTTGTCACATTTTTTTGTGGCTTCAGTCTTTCTCCACGAGTACTTCTCGAACACTCTCCTGTTGTTGGAGGCCGCTGCTCTACTGTGTGTTCAGTGGTGAGTAGTGAATATTGTAGAATCGCTCCTAGGGCCAGACTGTTCTTTGGCCCAAACCAGAGTTCTCCCTTTTTTTGAAGTAACAGTTAGACTTCTAATAAAGTGTTTCCATTTCTGGGGCGCATTTTGGGGACACCTCTGGTCAGTTTTGCGAAAGTATTTTTTAGGAGAACGTCCCTTTGAAGTAGAACAGAAGTTTGCCTATTGGTTTCCTTGAGCTGGCTTCCATTTTTTGCGTTGAAGACATGTCAGAGATCAAGAGGGAACTTGGGGCAGAGCCCCTGTTGTCTTTAGGGCCCAGATGTTGGCAATGAGGAGGGGTTGGGAAGGGCTGGGAGGAGGGCTCCCGCACCTGGAGCATTCAGGCTGCTGATAACCTTCTCTCACATGTCCCGCCTGTTTGCAATCGTAGTGCGAACTGTAGGTGTTTGGTTTTTAGGAGGCTTCAGATGCCGTAGGTGAGAATTAAGAATTTTGGCTGTCTTTCCTCCATGTGGGGTGTGAGTCCGCTTGTTTGCCAAAATAACTAAAATGCAGTGGACGTGGAGTCCCATTCCATCTTGGGCCTTTTAAGTAAAAAGCAGGATCCCAGTTCAGCCCATTAAATGCTGCCTGGGTAGATTTCACATGTGAAGAAAGACCTGAAGTTATGTTGAAGACAAGCTGGAGTCTGTTACAACAGCCACGTACAGGTTCATCAGGCTTTTGTGTGGAAATCTAGATTTTGTTTTAATTCACAATCTTAGGAAAAGCTACTGTAATTGCTCGGTGGGGATTTCCAGTGAGTGTCATAAGCATCTTTCCAGAAGTGGGCATCTGTGTCTCGCGGGTTAGTTTCATCCCATGTGTGGCCTGGGCGTCAGCAACACGCATGTGGACTAATTGATCTAAATCTGGGACACCCTGTTGATGTGTCCCAGTTGAATAGCTGTGTTATGTTCTTCAGCGAGCTTATGGGGGTTCTAGGCATTTCTGGAAACTTCTGCCTTAGTCCAGGGAACATGAGAAATGTGGGGTTTTAGATCTTGAGAAGCCTTCCCTTTAAAGAGGCCTGGTTAGCAGGTTGAGGTAAGGAGGGATCATGGGCAGGTTCAGAAGAAAAGGGAAGTTCAGAGCTTGTTGAGGAAAGTGGCTGGAGGCAGGTCCTGGGTGTAGAGTAGCCGCCGGATGTCTGCAGACAGGGAAGCCTGGGCGGGAGAAAAAGGCACTTCGGAAGCCATTTGTCGTATTTCAGTTGTTTGCCTCCGTTCATTTGAAATAGTCTTTTGCAAAGAGGCACACTTAGATCCTGAAAATATTTGCAAGTCTTGAGGTACCGAATAAAATCTGTATCAAACTCAATGTTCTGAAGTCATGACTTCCTAATTTAATTTTCAATAAAACAAGTTTGGGGAGATCGAAAGTTCCCCATAAAGGCCATTGTAATTTTAAATTACATTTGGTTCAGTTGTTCATTTTTTAGAAATGCACATGAGGACGCACCATGGCTTTTTAAACGTAAGACTGGTCAGGGTCCCAGGTGGGAGCCCCCCCTCCCTGCGCTTTGATTGTAATGCCCGAGGTTGCGACCTCCCACAAGAGACCACCAGAGTCATAAGCCAAAGCCAAGCGGCAAGGGTCGTTTATTGCAGGTTCGAACCTGGACCTCCGCGCACTTGTTGCCGGTGACGCTAAGAGGCCCCGAGTGAGGTTCTTATAGCCTTTTTATAGACAGGTACAAACAAGTTATGGGGAAGTTAGGGATTCTTCGCGGTTACGCCAAGCAGTTGTACAGAAGCGGAACAAGCTGGTTAAGCAAGCGGATTGAAGCTAAGTTTGTTTTTCACAGACCAGGATGACTAGGCAAACAGTTTGCCCAGGTCTCTCATTTCTCCCCTTTCTCAAGTACCTGAGGAACCAAGGGGAAGGGGAAAATATGTTAGGCAAGCAGGTTTACAGAAGCGAGAAATGCCGGTTAGTTCATGTACAATCACTTATTCTATTACCTACCAGACTACATTTAGGAAGTTTCACAACTTACTCTATTACATAGCGGGTTACATTCAGGAAAGGTTTCACAATGCTCGTAGCAAACAGCAAGCAAAGCAGACTTCTCAGCAATTGTATTTCTTATCAAAGATCCATAATAAGCAGAAAAGAGAACTTAGCTTTAAACTAAGGCAGGGCTGTCATTTGGATTTAAAGCTGTTCTTTTCATGATGTCTGGAATCCATTTCATGGTGGTTTTCTCTAGACCAGAATAAAATGTATAAACACTTGTCTCTACAGGAGTAGCCTCTTTACAGAAGAAATCAGACCAAGGGCTAGCACATTTCCAACAGGTACGGTTCTAAGAGGTACAGTCCAGTTCTGAAAAGTAGTCGGAACAAAAGCCAAATGAGCTCTCTCAGAAAGGACAAGCCCCTAAGACAGGTCCCCAATAAACCCCGGAGAGCACAGACACAGGACAGCGCAGACCCGGGGAGCGGGGCTCTGATCCTGGCACAAAACTTACCCTCCGCTTCAGGGTCCGCGAGAAAGCAGCACAGTGGGCTCTGTGGGACCTGCACCTGTTTGCTCGCAACCCGGAGTGGTTGGGGTCTTTTGTGGGTCCACCAGTGATCAAATAACTGTTAACCTTAAAACCAGATATTTTTCCAGGAAAAAAATGGGTTTATCTGGGACTAGCAGAGAATTGTAATTTGGGACACATATGCCACAGCAAAACCACAGGCAAATCTGGAGGAAAAAATGGGAGGACTATAGGGAGAGCTACAGTTTTCTAGAGGAGAGGGGGCATTGGGAGGGGCTGTGCAAACAAGAAGTCCTTTGGAGCAAACCGGGGGGGGGGCCCGCCCAGGTCTACGTTCAGGGGCTTCTCATTGGCTGGGCTATGACCATCTCTCATTGGGTGTCTCTCATTGGCTGGGCTGCTACTATCCTGCATTGGCAGGGCTGTGGCCGTCTCTCATTGGTTGGGTTGTGGCTCTCACTGGCTGAGCCCTGGCTCTCTCTCATTGGCTGGGCTGCGACCGTCTCTCATTGGCTGGGCTGTTGCCACCCCAGGAAATCATCTTCCTTCCTCCTGCATGAGCAGTGATGCATTACGGGTGTGCAGGTGCGTCTCTCCGTGTTGTGTCTGCCCTTGGCCCTGAGCGGCAGGTTGGGGAGCTTCCCCTGTGGACTCCTGACTCCACTTCAGTCGTGTCGCCTTTACTCAGCCTGGAAGAGGTGCCCGGCTTCTGGGTGGTTTTCATCGCGGGCGATCGGGAGTCGTGCGGCGGAGAGCAGAGCGCGTGCGCACGCGTGTGTGTGATGGCGCGCGTCCTCCCGGGTCTGGGGCAGGTGGCTACGAGGAGCGGACCTGCCGTGTTGGGTGGGAACTCCACGTTGCTCGTGTTGGGGGTCCACCAGACTCTTCCAAAGCGGCCGCCCCCGCTTACATCGGCAGCAGGATAAATGAAGGAGAATGCGCCCTGCTCACGTCCTCGCCGGCGCTTCCTGGGGCGTCTTTATAGCCAGTGTGGTGGGTGCGAAGGGGCCTCTGCTGGTAGTTCGAGGTGCGTGTCCCGCGTGACGAATGTCCAGCATCTTTTCATCGACCCACTGGCCATTTGCATATGTTCTTTGGAGAAGTGTCTGGGTGCGCAAATGTTAGGTGTGGACTTTTCCCCGCCGCCCCTTTTCGGGATGAGGGAGTTCCTTTCTGTTCCTAGTTGGCTGAGTATTTTTGTCAAGAGAGGGTGGTGGGTTCAAGGAGATACTTTTCTGTGTGTAAGTGATCATGGGGTTTTTGTTTCTCTTCTGTTCATGAAGTTTATGACTGCTATTTTGCTTGGTGAGCCAACCATTTTATTCCCAGATAAATCCCACTTGGTCACGTTGTAGAATCCATTTTCTATATGACTGGTTTTGGTATCATGATAAACTGGCCTCATAGAGTAGGTTAGACGTGTCTGTGCACAGTTAAATTTTGTGGATGGACCCCAGATGATTGGTGACATCGAGCATCATTTCATGTGCTTTTTGGCCATTGTGTATCTTCCTGGGGAAATGTGTACTCGCGTTCTTTGTCCGTTAGTTAGTTGTATTATTTGTCTTTATACTTTTTTATTGCTGTTACATGAGTTTTTAAAAACCTGTTTAGATCACAAACCTCGTATCAGCTGTGTGACTAGCAAACCCATGTTGCAGCCCCAGACGAAGGGGTGTTGCCTTTGTTGTAGCTGATGTAGCTGGGGTTCTGTGTCCTTAGATTTTGGGAACATGTCTTTTGTTTAAACAACTTTTGATAATTTTATGATAATTGTTTGCTCTTTATTTCAATGATATGGTGGCTTCTTGTATTGCCCCAAAGATATTACGTATGGGGGTTCTGATGTTTGGGGGACCCAGCAGTGTGGGTTGTGTAAGAATTCACCCAACGCAGCACAAAGGAGATAGAGGTTTATTGAATGCACCATGAGGGAGCAGAGGGCCACCAGGAAGTGGTTTGGGGCTAGACTTATAGGGCAGAGTGAGGGAGTGTGGGAACATATGGAAATTCCCCTTTTTATGGTAACGGTGCCTGGTTATAAGTAGGCCATTGGATAGTTGGGGCCTGTGGCCATTTTGAGGTGGGTCACTTCATGAGCCTATTTTTTATGCATCTGTGTGTTCACTGTGGGCCCTTTTGCCTAACTCAGTTTTCCATTGGTGAAGCCTGTTATCTAAATGTGGCCCTGACATCCCCCTGACAGGTGGACAATACAAATCTTTGGCATTAGGGCAGGGGTGTCACCTTCAGTAGCTTCTTCCTGCTGAATGAGGGCATAGAGATGTCCCTGGTGGGTCAACATTCAGCAGGAAGAGAAGCTGAAATAAAAGACCTTTAATAGTTGACCAAAATCTTCCTACAGTCCAGGAGTTTAACCAGTTATTAAAGGAGAGGGAGGGATCCTTTCAAGCACCAACATGAGTATCCATATCTTTTAGCAATCCTGTTACATTATTGTAATCTGGAGCATATATTTAACACTTTTTTTTTTAATTTTTTTTTTTAACGTTTATTTATTTTTTTGGGACAGAGAGAGACAGAGCATGAACGGGGGAGGGGCAGAGAGAGAGGGAGACACAGAATCAGAAACAGGCTCCAGGCTCCGAGCCATCAGCCCAGAGCCCAACGCGGGGCTCGAACTCACGGACCGCGAGATCGTGACCTGGCTGAAGTCGGACGCTTAACCGACTGCGCCACCCAGGCGCCCCTTAACACTCTTTTAAAACGATTTTTTTGGGTGGGTTGGGTTGCCTGGGTGGCTCAGTCTGTTAAGCATCCGACTTTGGCTCAGATCATAATCTCACGGTTCATGGGTTTGAACCCCACATCAGGCTCTGTGCTGACAGCTCAGATCCTGGAGCCTGCTTTGGATTCTGTGTCTCCCTCTCTGTCCCTTCCCTGCTTATTTCTTTTTGAGAGAGAGAGTGCACGAGGCAGTAGAAGGGCAAGGAGAGTGGAAGACAGGGGATCCAAAGTGAGCTCTGCGCTGACAGCAGAGATCCCGATGTGGGGCCCAGGAGATATGACCTGAGCAGAAGTCAGACTCTTAACCAACTGAGCCACTCAGCCCCCCCCCCCAACACTGTTTTAATGAAAGTATACGTTACTCCTTGAGCTGCAGCAGGATTTTAAGGACTGTTTGGTTTTGCAGGACCACCTCAATTTCTGGGTGAGCGTGTGTTGGGGTTGGTTAAAGGTGATGTCTGTGTGCTTGGTTAAAGCATCTACTTACAATTTTACATTGATAGAAGCAACTCCTGTGACAGAATGTCTAAGGGGTAAAACCATCAAGAAGGCTTCTTTGCCTGATGTCCAGCCTTAATGACATTCTTTTTAAACAAATTTTTTTACTGTTTATTTTTGAGAGAGAGAGAGAGAGAGAGAGAGAGAGAGAGAGAGAGAGAGAGAGAATGTGAGCAGCACAGAGCTTGACGTGGGGCTTGAACACACGAACCGTGAGATCAGGACCTGAGTCGAGGTCAGATGCTTAACCGACTGAGCCACCCAGGTGCCCCTAGCCTTAATGATATTCTAATGATGAGGAATTGCTGGCAAGTGGGAGGTGACTTGTCCTGGTAGATAAGGGCATCCCTAAGTGCATCATGCAGTCATATCATAAGGAAAGAATGGCTACCCATTATTTCCAGAAGTCTACGGCCAATCCCATGGAGAAGGGGAAATTCGGGATTTTGTGGAGTGATTTTTGGCCTCCCAGCCACACAGAATTGGTCAAGGTGATAGGTGAGTTATGAAAATGTTGGAGAGTTCCTCCCATTTTTTTTTGGCTGTTCAGATGATCGTATGTCCATGAGGTCTTGTTATCATCCTCACAGTAACAAGCATGATGATTCTTTATACACGAGCTTTTGCCAGTTTCTCTGAACCTCACCTCAAGTTGTCCAGCATCAGCTTTCAAGACTTTAGGAAAAAGGGTGGTTGTGGTTTTTAATGACTTAAGTCAAGAGGATGGAAGGTTGGAAACCTTAGTTTGGAGAACTCTAGCTAAATATTTGATGAAACCAGAAAAATTCAGGACCTAGTCTGGTTTATAAGAAATAGTATTAAAATCTAATATCTACAAAGATGTGTTATTGAAACATTATTTTTTATTCTCTGTGAAATCACCCTTATTTCCAGAGATAGTCAAATCAAGACTAACAAACATGGCCTAATTATTCACAGAAGCTCAGGAAGAATGTGTTGGTGGGGCGCCTGGGTGGCTCAGTCGGTTAAGCATTCGACTTTGGCTTGGGTCATGATCTCACAGTTTGTGGGTTTGAACCCTGCGTTGGGCTCTGTGCTGACACCTCAGAGCCTGGATCCTGTTTCGGATTCTGTGTCTTCCTCTCTCTCTGCCTCTCCCCTGCTTGTGTTCTGTCTCTCTTGCTCTCAAAAATAAATAAAATATAGGGGCGCCTGGGTGGCACAGTCGGTTAAGCGTCCGACTTCAGCCAGGTCACGATCTCGCGGTCTGTGAGTTCGAGCCCCGCGTCGGGCTCTGGGCTGATGGCTCAGAGCCTGGAGCCTGCTTCCGATTCTGTGTCTCCCTCTCTCTCTGCCCCTCCCCCGTTCATGCTCTGTCTCTCTCTGTCCCAAAAATAAATAAACGTTGAAAAAAAAAATTAAAAAAAAATAAATAAATAAAATATAAAATAATAATAATAATGATAAAAAGAATAGTGATTGGTCATAGGAGTTTTTTTTAACGACTTGCTTTGCTTGAAATGTTTATAAATAATCTCTAGATTGAATTTTTAATAACCTCTCAAGGCCAGAAGCCAAGTCAAATACTTGCTGTCAGACTTGTCTACAATCCCTGTAGATTCAGGTGAATACCTCTTCTTGAGGCCCTGAATAAATCCTGAGGTTACCTGCACCTGCCAGGAATTGACTTTGTCTACTCACCTGGCAAGGCTGCTGGGAACCCTGTCAGCAAGGGATCAGGCCAGCCTTTCTAAGGGGCTTGATTGGCTGCATAAAGTCAACCTGATTTCTTTAAAGCTGCCTGGTAGTATCTGTTGTCTTACCATGTCTCTCTGAAATATGACATTTCAGTCGAAGCGTCGGTAGGATAACCAACGTTTCCTATGGTGTCCTGTTACAAGAAGAAGAGAGGCCCATTGAACTTACACAAACGCTTATCCTTGACAGGAAAAGAAAGAATACTCACTGAGAGTTTCGGAATTCTGTGGCATTTAGGTAGGGAAAAAAGGGAAATGTTTCCATTTGTTCACAAAGGAATACTTCATCACATTTCTGTAAGTCCTAGGTATTTCAAGAGAAAACTTCCTCAATTTGTTAGAGCAAACACTATAGAACCAGCAGTATTTCAAATAAGAGTTACAAAAACTATAAGCATCTTTAATTCATTTAGTCCTATGTTAATTAATTCCTGTTTGTTTGAATGCAACTTTCCCATTAGTTCTGGAAATTCTTACCCAGTTCAGTTTTATGATTTAAAGATATCAAATACCTGTATTTACAAAAAAAAAATCCTTTTCATGAATCTCCTTGAAGACAAAACTCATTTGGCAAGAGCATCAGAACAATAAATATAAATGGCAAAAAAAGAAAACAACATAGAAATGGCCATGACTCATGATCTGATATGTGACTTCAGTGTAATATAGCTGACAAGGAAATCTGCTCATTTCTTTGACACCTAGTATTTTATTAATTAGAATGTCAAGTGATGATGTTATATGAGAACGTATTTAAACTTTATGGATTTTATGTAATTTCAAAACAGCTGTAGTATACACTCAAATGATACAATCTAAGGTTTATTACTATTTGTTTGACCCTGCTTTCCAAGCAACTTAACATACCAAATATGCAAGCCTAATTAGTCAAAAAAGACTTCGTTTACAATTTCTAAACTTGGGAAAGTGTGTTGGAATCCTCAGAAATTTTTATTTTTATTTATTTTAAATGTTTATTTACTTTTGATACAGAGACAGACAGATCATTACTGGGGGAAGGGCAGAGAGAGAGACACACACACAGAATCTGAAACAGGCTCCATGCTCCAAGCCATCAGCACAGAGCCCGATGTGGGGCTCGAACTCACAAATCGTAAGATCATGACCTGAGCCAAAGTTGGATGCTTAACTGACTGAGCTACTCAGGCACCCCTTGAACTCTCAGAAATTTTTAAAGCACATGTCTAAATAGAATTACAGATCTTACACATTTTGAGAAGTTTTAACTTTAGTCAAAGACCTGGTGAAAGCAAAACATAGAAACTTTGGTTTTGGGGGCAGATAAGGAAAGGAAGAAGACTTCTGTTTACATCGTCTTGATCAAGACCAGACCAACAATCCTAGAAAGCTTTGTCCCAGCGAGAAAAGTGCATGTTTACTATTGAAGCAGTATCCTTTTAAAATCAATTTATTTCAGGGGCGCCTGGGTGGCGCAGTCGGTTAAGCGTCCGACTTCAGCCAGGTCACGATCTCGCGGTCCGGGAGTTCGAGCCCCGCGTCGGGCTCTGGGCTGACGGCTCGGAGCCTGGAGCCTGTTTCCGATTCTGTGTCTCCCTCTCTCTCTGCCCCTCCCCCGTTCATGCTCTGTCTGTCTCTGTCCCAAAAATAAACGTTGAAAAAAAATTTAATAAAATCAATTTATTTCAATATTAGTCCATCCTAAGCACACACACGTAAAATGACTTTCTAAAGCTGTCCCTTCACAGACTTGTCTGCAACATTCTTTTGCACTCAGAGTTCGTCCTGAGATTTTTTTTCTCTAAATAACCAGTCTCATTTTAGGAGAAAATTACTTTCTTTCACCTTAACAAAATGTATTCCCATCCCTCATATCTCCTACTCTCTTAGATACAGACTGGCTTTCCCCATTCCGGTCAGTCTCAGTTACATTTAGAAGAATTGTACCTCTTAGAAACCTTAGTCTTCAGTGAAAACCAATTGAGAACTGTCTATACACCAGGATTCTTTAGATGACAAATTTATGGACGCATTTCATAGTTTTTAGGAACATGCCTTTTTCATAGCACAGTCTTTAAATGAGGCACAATGTATGTTTTCCAACAGATGCAGGTATCTTTAGTTTCTCTGCAATAAGAAGCCAAAAGCAGATGAAACTTACTTTTGCTAATTAACATGTTAGTATTTTATCTTATTGAGAAAAGACTTAGATGCCCAGTGAATTAAACCGAATTTATCATTGACCTTAGCAAAATTTCAAAGTTTCAGGTTATGAAAGATTTTGAAAGCTATCTTAAAAATTACCCATGAGAACTTTCTGAGACAAAGTTAACCATGATTTTAAGTCATCATTTATTTACAAACTGCAACAGAGCTTATTTGACCTTTAGTATAAAAGTTTTATATGTAATAAATATGTATGGATAACTCTAAAATCATGTCTTTTTGTTACATCGGCAACCTTAAATTAGCTTTAATATCAAATATATTCTGGGGCAGCTGGGTGGCTCAGTAGGTTAAGTGTCTGACTTTGGCTCAGGTCATGATCTTATGGTTCATGACTTCGAGCCCTGCCGTCGGGCTCTGTGCTGACAGCTCAGAGCCTGGAGCCTGCTTTGGATTCTGTGTCTCCCTCTCTCTTTGCCCCTCTCCTGCTCATGCTCTGTATCTCTCTCTCTCTCAAAAATAAACAAACATTAAAAATTAAAAAAAAAATCAAATACGTTGCATCTGCGTCCACTAGGAGTCAATTTGTCGCCCACTGTTTTTTGTTTTTTTTTTTTTAACCTGGGATACCTATGGGAAAAATCTAAAGTTGGCCATTTAAGTCCAGTAGAGCCCCTGTTCCTGTAGAGGCAGGGGAAAGCCAATGGGTGGAATAAAAGAGAGGTCATCTAGAATGTCTGAAGGGTCAGATGGGCCATGTGTCTGAGGAAGACACATTCTGCAGTTTTTGTAGAGGTTGGGATTTGGGGACAGTGCCATGAATATGAAGGCCTGCACGTATGGGACCGGTGAGCATTTGGAGGAGTTCTGGAAAAAGACTTCCAGTTGCGTAGTGGGGCCATATGTCTTGATCTGGGAGTTTGTATGAGGCCAGGACACATGACATGAAAGATGAGATGATTTTTCTCAGGTCTTGGGGTTCATGTTTTATCCACTTTTTAAAAATACAGCCCAAAGGCGAGTATAGGAATAGAGGACTTTGTCCCATACTGGGAAAGATCTGCTGCTGATTCCCAAAGGGTTTTCCCACCAAGGGGAATGAGGCTGTGACTTGTGGTCGAGATTTCAGTCAGGGTGTGCACTGTCCTGAAGAAGGACTGGGCCTTATGTCCTTATGTGGGGCACCTGACTTTACTGGGGGCATGCGATCAAGGAGAGTGTCACAACAAATAGCAATAGAAATCTGTGCTGGGGTGTACCCTGCTCTAGGGAGAGACACACACCTGGTGGCCAACCTGGGTCAAAAAAAAAAAGGGGAGGACTCAGCACTGAGACCTGTAGGAATGTGTTTCCCTGTAGATCAAGATGGCAGCTGGATACATGGAAACAAAGGAATTAAGGAAAGGGTCTGAAAGAATAAGCCTGCTGAGACTCCACCAGCATTAGGAAAGGCTCCCAGCTGAGTCTGTAACGTGTGGATTCACCCGGCTTGGGCTGCTGTTGCCAACTACACCACATATTGGGAGCAGACCTTGGGGGACAGAGTGAGAAAGCAGAGGAAAGGGGCCCTTCACCCTCATAGACATGGGCAGTCCAACCTATTCACTCTCACACCTTCAGACAGAGTGTGGAGCCACCCTGGCCTCTTTGTTTGAGGAGTACTAGGGTTAGAGCTCTTGAAGGGTTAAAAGACAAAGGAGAGGAGAGAGGGATCCCCCTGAAGGGCAAGAGGGGAAATCCCTCATCCTGTTGGGCAAGGGGTGCCCTATAGACGCCCCCTGGGACTTGGGATCCTCACCAAGGAGGAACCTCAGGTGGAGGTTGTCAGCTGCTCAGAAAACACTAGAGTCAGTCTACCAAGGGAAATTCCCAGGAAATTCCTAGGAAATCCCAGGAGAGGCCCAGTACAGCAGAGGGTCCCTGTGAAGGCCATCAAATGTGGGGCGACCCGATCAGGGGGGAGGCCCGCAGCTCAGGGGGTGAGAGAATTCCCCCCAAGGCAGAACAGAGGAGATGGGAGTTTACTGAATACCCTGCGAGGGAGCAGCGGGCAGGACGGCAAAGAAGAGACCATCTGCCGGGAGGCGGTGCTGGGGGCTACAGTTATGGGGTCACGAGGGAGCATGGGAACCTTTGGAATGCTCCCTGTGTGGGACCTGTGCCCGGTTGTAAGTCGCAGGGGTCAGTTAGGGCCTGTGGCCATTTCGAGGCGGGTCACTCAGGAGCCCGTGTGCATTCAGCTGTGTGCTCACTGCGCCCTTTGCTGCGTATCTTTCCATCACTCAGGCCTGTTGCCTAAAAACGGTCCATACGCTGTGATTCTTCCCCCAGTGTTAACGTGAGCGGTGGCTGTGTCCCCATCAATCCCTCAGGGACTCTTCCTTCTGGTGCCCTTTTCCTTGAATTCTGGGCCCTGGGTTAAATGTTGGAGCGGCCCTGCTGACTTCCAAGTCTCTTAAGGCCCCGGACTCGTCTTACACATCAGGTGTGCCAGGCTCCTGGGCTCTGGCCTGTGTCGGTGCCCAGAGCCCACCTAATCCGGGGAAAGGGTCGTGTCTGCCTCTGTCGGAAGAGAGGGGACTCCAGCAGGCGTCTTGCCCTTGTTCCTTCCAGGGCGAGAGCTGCTCCCATCAAGCAGCCCTGGAATCCGAGTGTCCACAGCATCCTGACATTCTGGTTCCAGTTCTTGGAGCTGATGAGGCATAATCGTTTTAGAGCAAGCCAAGCGTGTGTCCTCCGGTCTGTGTGTTGTCCGAGTGAATATTTCACTTTTCAGTCTGTACAGTATCGATCTGTTCAGATCTGTCTCAGTGTAAATATCCCAGTAAATTGGGTGTGTGTAAGTCCATGTCAGCTGTTGTCCTCACCCTCTGTTGTGACTCAGGGGTCCTAGGAATGGAGTGCAGCTCCCCGCCTGTCACCCTTCATCCTCCCACACACATGGATGATGATGGAGCTTTGCTGCAATAGAGTGTGTGGTATGTTTCAGGCCTCTGTGGTCTTTGAGGATGTGGCTGTGAACTTCACCCCGGAAGAGTGGGCTTTGCTGAATCGTGGTCAGAGGAAGCTCTACAGAGATGTGATGCTGGAGACCTGCAGGAACCTGTCTGCTGTGGGTAAGGATGGCTCCATACCTTCACTGGTCTTTTCAGGAGGAAGAAGAATAAGTCAAATTTGCAAATGATATGAAACAATACATAGAATGTCCTTAACACTTCACCAAATACTATTAGAACTAATACATGAATTTAGAAGACTTGCAGAACACAAAATTAACATTCCAAAATCTGTTGCACTTCCATATCTACTATCAAAATAGCAGAGAAATGTAGAAAACAAACCCATGTTAAATTACCTCAAAAACCATAAAATACTATGTTAAATGTAACTAAGGAAGTTTAAAGATATTTACTCTAGGAGGTATAAACATTTAGTGAAAGAAATTGAAGGGGCGTCTGAGTGGCTCAGTTGGTTAAGTGTCAAGTTTGGCTCAGGTCGTGATCTCACGGTCTGTGGGTTCGAGCCCCGCGTTGGGCTCTGTGCTGACAGCTCACAGCCTGGAGCCTGCTTCACATTCTATGTCTTCTTCTCACTCTGCCCCTCCCCCACTCATTCTCTCTCTTTCTCTCTCTCTTTCAAAAATAAATATTAAGAAATTTTTTTAAAAAATAAATTGAAGGGGCACTTCAGTGGCTCAGTTGGTTGGGCATCCGACTTTGGCTCAGGCCATGATCTCATGGTCTGTGAGTTTGAGCCCTGCGTTGGGCTCTGTGCTGACAGCTCAGAGCCTGGAGCCTGTTTTGGATTCTGTGTTTCCCTCTCTTTGCCCCTCCCCCACTCATGCTCTGTCTCTGTCTCTCACTCTCAAAAAATAGTAAATAAACATTTAAAAATACTTAAAGGAAATTGAAGATGACACAATAAAAAAAGGTATACCATTGTCCTGGATTATAAGAACTAATATTACTGAAAATGCCCATACTATGAAAAGTGTTATACATATTCAATGCAATCCCCATCAATATACAGATAGTATTTTTGAAAGAACTAGAGCAAGAAATTTTAAAATTTTTATGAAAACAGAAAAGATTCCAAATAAAGCAATTTTGAGAAAACATACCAAAGCTGAAGATACAACAGTCTCAGATTTCAAACTATACTAAGAAAACAGTGTAGTACTGGAACAAAAATAGACACATAGATCAAGGCAACAGAATAGAGAGTCCAGAAATAAACCCATGCTTCTATGGCCGGATTATGTACAAAGAAGGAGCTGAAAATACACAATGGGGTTAAGACTGTCTCTTCAATAAGTGGTGTTGGGAAAATGAGACAGCTACCTGCAAAGAGGTGAAACTGGGCCAGCTTCATACCCCTTACCTGAAAGGAAACTCAGTATGGATTAAACACCTCGGTGCAGGACTTGAACCCATACACGTCTTAAGACAAAACAGAGGTGCTAAACTCATGGACATCAGCCTTAGCAGTATTTTTGTGGACTCATCCCTTCAGGTAAGGGAAACAAAAGGAAAAATAAAAAATTGAAAGGGGAACATAACAGACATTTTCCCACAGAAAATAATAGAGGTGGCCACTTGGCACATGAAAAGCTGCTCAGTATCACTAATCCTCAGAGAAGTGCACATCAAAACCACAATGAGCTGCCCCCTCACAGCAGCCGGAACGGCTAGTGTCAACAAGACAGGAAATACGAGTGTTGGTGAGGATGTGGAGAAAAGGAAACTCCTCGTCTGTGGGGTTTAAATGGGTGCAACCAGCTTGGCAAACAGTTTGGAATTTCCACAATAAAATGAAACACAACAGTACCATGTAGTCCATAATTCCGCTTCTGGGTAGTTCACCAAAGAAAAAAAGCCAGCACGATAAGACATGTGCACCCCCTGGTTCACCGGACTGTTACTCGCTGTACTCAACATAGGGAAGCAATGCAGGTGTCCTTCAACAGATGAATGGATAATGAAGATGTGGTATCTACATACAAGGGACTATCCCTCAGTAATACAAAAGGGACGAATTTGTGATGTTTGTGACAACATGGATGGACCTAGAGAGTATTATACCAAGTAAATAAGTCCGACAGCGAGACAAACAAAACACGTTACTTATATGTGGAATCTAAATGACAAAATGAACAGACAACAGAAAATAGGAACAGACTTAAAACCGTAGACAACAAATTGGTGTTTGTGAGATTGGAATGGGATTGAGAGACAGGTGAAATCATGGAGGGGATTGAGAAGAACAGATTTGCACTTGTTGAATAAATAAGTTACCAGAAGGAAAAGTAGAGCATAGGGAATATGGTCAATAATTGTATAGTTGTGTATAATGACAGCAATTACACTTTTTATGGTGAGCATTTTGTAATGTATGTAATTGTCAAATCACCGTATTGTACATCTGACACTAATATATAGGTCAGTATGCTTCTAGTAAAAGAATGATTAAATGAATGAGTTAATAAATGAATAAATAATAAAAAGCCACCCAATTATCGGTCATCAATGACCCTGAAGACTAAAGTTAGTGCCTATCTTCCAGATTGCTTGTTGTCCTTCAAATCCTCCCACCCGCTGAGCTCTTCTCAGGGGCAGGCCAGCAGCCACACACATCACCCGACCTCTAATGGCAGCTGGGGCAGTGTAGGAAGGCTTCACCAAAGGCCTATGTGCCTTCAGAACTGATCAACCCTTGGTTGGACCAGGTTCCGGACAAGGGATTGACATTTGGACCCATCCCCTAGAAACATGACTCTGTTTTTGAGAAGGGTGAAATTTGTCATTGACCCGGCTTTCCTGTTGGACTTTTCATCCATCATACCCCATGTGGCCAGTCTTTCTGTCTTCCTATAGAGGTAGGGTGTGGATGTGTGTATCTTGCCCAGTTCCTTCCTACTTGGCTCTTCTGATAATTCTTAACTCCACATTAGTGTCCATCTAGTTTGAAGTATTTCTGAATGAACGGGCTGCCATTTCAGACACTTTCTCTATTATTGCCAAAGTCTCGAGTCACAAGGGTCCTCGGAATTTTTTGGTCACATGACCATTCTTCCTCATGAAGTTCATTTACATTTCGGGATCAGTATATAAATAGAGATACATGGTCTGTTTTCTTACCTTACATATCAGATCATTTCCGAGAAATTAAATTAGACTCCCATTTCTTGTAGTTTCTCCCAGTCAAGGTAAAATGAGTGGATCAAAGACTGAGTGGAATTCTTTGCAGAATGAGCCTCTGAGTGAAAATACTAATGTATACAAAAAATGATTCCTGTTCTGTGTTTGTAGAGAAGCAGAAATTTCACAGCAGTGGAGATTTGACCCGAATGCAGGAAGGGCTTTTGAGGTGAGTGACACTTGTAAGGGAGGAAGGGGGCGATGCTGGCGATTGTGAGACTGACCTGAAATTAGAGAACAGTTGCAAACCTAGCGCAACAATCGTGTAGTCGAAATTTTCACAAGACAAACCTTTATAAATGCATTCTACCTATTGATCATCTGAAAAAACAATTCAGTTGGAAAAAATGGTCAGGGAAAAGCATATGTAAGAAGCCCTGAATGTTATGACTCTATTTGAGTCCTCAGGGAGAACAGGAAGCTTGTTCCACTTTGGAACCTTGCACACAGTGCTAAAAACACACTCATTCATTGAGAATATCCATCATGTAACCCAATAATGATTAACAAACATCAATAGATCATTAGGTAATAAAGAGATCACTGATAATCATTGTTCCCTAACCATGTACCTTCCTATTTTGAACAGAAGTCCTTTGGTGGAGAGTGTCTGTGAACGTATTGAAGGAGATCCATGTGGAGAAACCCTGAACCCGATTACAAGTCTTACTGTGCATGAGGGCTGTCCCACTGGAGGCAAATCCTGTGAATGCGCTAAGTGTAGGGAAGCCCTCACAGATGGTTTTTTTCTAGGGACTCTGGGAAGATCTCACCCAGGACGCAAATCTAGTCCCTGTGAGGAATGTGGGCCGGCCTGTAGCTCCGTCTCAAGCCTCAGCACTCAGGTGGGTGCAGACCTTGTAGAGAAACCCTATGAAGGTCAGGTCACCGGGAGAGCATCGGAGACATATGCGAAGAGTCTCCGTAGTAAAAAGTCTATAGAGTGCAAGAAATGTGGAAAAGCTTTCACTTGCATTTCTTCTTTTCAGGGTCATGTGCAAAATGACTGTGTACAGAGAGTCCATGCATGTGACGTGTGTGGGAAAGCCTTTATGTGTCACTCTGATCTTACACATCACGTGAGAACTCATACTGGGGAGAGAACCTATCAATGTCAGGAGTGTGGCAGAGCCTTCCAGTGTGAGTCAGGCCTGCAGAAACATGTGAGGACTCACACTCCAGAGAAACTCTATAAATATCAGCCCTGTAGGAAATCCTTCCCTGGCCAGCAGTCCTTTCTAGTACCTAGGAGAAGACACACAGGGGACAGACACTTGGAATGTAAGGAGTGTGGGAAAACTTTCAAGAAGCATCTACAGTTTGAACGTCACATGACCACACACAATGTAATGAAACCCTATGAATGTCGGGAGTGTGGCAAAACCTTCAAGCATCACCCAGACCTGCGAGTACATACGAGGACACACACTGGGGAAAGACCCTATGAATGTAAGGAATGTGGGAAATCTTTCCGAAAGTATGAACATGTTAAACGTCACATGACCACTCACAGTACTGTGAAACCCTATGAATGTAAGCAATGTGGCAGAGCCTTCCGGGATCACACAGACCTGCGAGTGCATATGAGGACACACACTGGGGAAAGACCATATGAATGTCAACAATGTGGGAAAGCCTTCAGATATCTTGGGAATCTGCGAGAGCATGTGACAATACACACGGGGGAGAGACCCTATGAGTGTCAGGAGTGTGGGAAAGCCTTCAGGTATAACTCATGCCTGCGAGAACATGTGAGGAAACACACTGGGGAGAGACCCTATAAATGTCAGCACTGTGGAAAAGCCTTCATTCGACACCACACCCTCGTACTACATACTGCGAGAAGACACTCAGTGGGTGGACACTTGGAATGTAAGGAGTGTGGCGAAACTTTCAGGAAGCATCAACCTTTTGAACAT